CTTGATACAAATCTTGCTTACTTCCTGATTGGTTCTCAAACTCATTAATAATTCATAAAGAAAATACAAAGGAAATTAATGCTTAATGAGTGTTTGGAAATCGGATGAAAAACTGCTCATTTTTACATCCTTAATTTCTCTTTGTAAACTCATTTTGTTTGAGAAGTAATATCAAGCATGCATTCGTCACAGTGTTGCATCACCCGAGGAAACACCTCGAATTGTAAGGAGATATTTCCCATCAATTCTTTATTTGCCCTTTGAAGTTGTTTTAGCCGTAATTTACAGTGAGTTTTAGTCCTTTTAAATTATACACATTTTACTTCAATGTTAACTTTTAAATGGATATTTAGTTTCTGAATAATTATACAGCTTAGTCACTGAACAACTGGACCTTTCTCCTGTTCAAATACCAACCATTCGTAGATTTTAGTTTTGACATTTTAAGGAATCCTGAGCAAAGGAAACTCGAATTCTTTTGCACGGATTTACTGCTGAATCTTTGTAAGTTTCCGAAATTCATTTCCTTGACTGACTGACATTTAATTTTGAGTCATTTAGTTTAGTATATGAATCATTTTAAAGCTGAATTTATCAAGATTTGTTTTCAGTGTTCAGCTGATTTTATTCAGCCTTCTTTCCACTTGTTTTGTGATGTTGTAATAAGTTGATCGGTTAGTAGCGGAGCTCTCGCGCGCGAAGCGCGCCAGCGGAGCACCATGTTTAAGAAAATTTGGTAAACTATCTATCCGAGAAAATTTGGTTATGACGTAGCGTACGAACGCCGACCGTCCGTACACCCACTACATGTAAGCCGATGTCAAGTGTCACACTTGTCAGGAGCGAGAAATAAATAACAACGGAGACTAATTTCGTTGGAAGAAAAACATGAAAATTATATAGCGGCGGTTAGAAAATGAGAAATGCTAGCGGCTACTAATGTGAAAAAGGAGCGGCAGTGAAAAAACAGAGTGAACAGGAACACAAACATTTCCTCCATAAACCGCGTAAATAGGAAGCTAAAAGAAGTTTCACGTTTTAGTCGTGTAAAACAACGGTGAGGAAATGTACAAAAAAAACTGCTGCACGTGCAGAGTTGTTTTTTTTTTTTTGCTAATTAGATCTATTGTTGTTGTTTTTACCGTTCTCGTTGCTTTCAACTTGTCTTTAGTATTACTCGATTTTATACTTTCTTTGAGGAATCTATAAATATTAAAGAGAGCTTCGCTTTTAGCCCTTGCTAAAACTATATATTATAAATAGAGCACTGTTATCCCTCTTTTTCGATTTACATTGCGGATTTACATGTTTGACTTAATGATTTACATTTTGGATGCAGTCATGCCTGTATGATTTACGTCCAGGAACTGAAGATTAAACTGCTGAAGTCCAAGTATGAGTGCTGTCCTGTTTTTCCAGTTGTAGCAGATCCTAGTACCGTGGAACAATGACAAGTTTTTTTCCCGCTATCCAAACGAGTTGCAGAGTTAGTTTTCCCCCTTGTTGTTCATACACCCGATTTGTGCTTGGAAGGGCAAAACCTATCGTCACAGAATTTCGTCAAAAATACTCCGCTGCGCGTCGTATTTCAGTTTCAACTCTCTTCATAGTGTGGCGATGAAACACTGCGCCTCATGCTTGATACATTACTTTAATTATATGTTTTTACGCCAGGTTCATTCTTATGGCACTAGAAGTTCGGAGCTTTTTTATTTACCACAATGAGGTACCATAAGAAAGTGCTCTGACTACCAGTTTCCAGTTTCTTAGTTTTGAAATTCGAAATGCTGTGAGCTAAAAGGCTCCTCTTATCAGAAATATTCATTTATTTCATTTTTATTTTCCTTTGATTTTCATTTTCGTTTTTTTCTCAGGTTTTTTTTCCTTTCGCTTTTTTTTAGCTTAATTATGATTAATAATGGTAATTGAACTGAGTGGAGTGCAATTTGGTCTGAAATCATTGCGTGATTTCGACCGAGTTCGATTTGAAATCACAAGTATGATTTCAGACCAAAATTGTACGACACGAATTGCAATTACCCCTTTATTACATTCATTTTGAAATCACTCATTTTTTTAAAATCTGTATTTATTGGTCCACGAGGCTGGTTCGTAAAAAGCGGAACCGGAAACGCGTTTACATGTACGTGTCAACAAAACCGAATGACAGATGTTACTTAATGTGATTAATAGGAACCAGTGGTGCTTGTTGGTGTAGGACTGGCTGTTGGAATGTTGATAGAATGGATGCCTTTGCAGCTGTACTGTTTTGATTTGAAACGTCGTTTGAACTGTTCTCATTTGGCACTTCTTTAAATTCGCTGATTATGTGAGACAGTTCTTTCCGTTTATTCTTGTCCATTTCGTCGTTGTCGTCCAACGAAGATTCACGTGCATGGCCTGTTATTTCACAGATAACGTTTCACTGCTGACCAGACTTCAGTTTTGACATTATGGTTGGTTGGTTGGTCAGTTTTTTCTTTGTCTTTAGACAGGAGGCCATGGATTTCACGATGTTACCGATGGTATTTTCGCCCATTCTAATCTTAGTGTGAGAGATATCATTTGATTGAGGACAATTTATAACGCTCAGATACAGTGGCCCATCTTTCATTCCGTCGGGTCGCTTGGATAACCAAAGCTTGAAAAGGCTCACTGGATCAGTTTTTCCGTTGTTCTTCGCGATATTGTCAGACCACCGCTTCGTGATTTAGTCGGACGTTTGCGGAATTCTACAAATTCGCTACCGTCTTCTTGTTGTCTTATGACGAAGCCCTCTACGCAGGCATCATAGTGCTCCTGGCGACCTCTAAATCCAAGTTGCTCAGTCAAGTTTTTGAAGTTAACATTGGTCAAGACTTTTCCGTTGAAATCACCAAGCTTACCTTTTTACCAAGAGGGAAGACTCTTCCTCCGGGGTGAGAGGCTGAGATTTGTTTGGTCTTTTCTCCTTTCCTTGTTGTCGCAGAGAAATTTCCTTCGCCGCGTGGAGGATTCTAATTGTAAGTTGTGAAACTCCCTCGATCGTACGATGCTCAGTGGATAATTCTTCTCCTTTAAATACCTTTCAATGGCACTCTGCATGATTTTAAGGGATTCCGGCTCGTAATAATCTCCGTCCCTTTTTTATCCCTTTTTTTACTTGGGCGTAGAACTTGCTCAGGATGTTGTCAAGCTCCTCCGGCGCCATTGTTGCTATGTCTACATTTTCTAGATGACGGGACTGGCACCAACTTTTGACTACATTCATCCACTGTTTTGTCGAGCGGGAGGTATTTTTGTTGACGGCAACAGCTTTGAGCTCTTCAATTTCTTCGCTTGAAATCTACATTTTGTATTTTCTGAGGTGGCTTTGGATTTCTCTCTTTGTTGCTGGACTTTGCATCGCACGGATCCAGAGTGGATGTGGAGGAAAAATTATCAAAATATTCGTCAAACTGGACACTGAATGTTGTCGGAAACTCCCCTAAAGGTACTTCTTCAGCCTCTAGGATCGATCACTCTCATCATTAAAAAACTATAAGTAATTAAATTCGTCCATTTTCGCCTTTGTAAAAAAAACGTTTTGGCAACAAAAAACTTGCACAAAGTTTGTTACACCATTTTGCCTTTATTTTTTGGGTTTTCCTGCAATTTGATTAATTTGATTGAAATCTGATTGGTTGGTTCTCATTGATTGGAAAAAAAGATGCGATTTAGGGCACAAAATAGTGCGATTCGTGAATAAATCACATCGTTCAAAGCCAATCAGATTGTAATGAACACCTATGATTTCCAAATAGATGATATAATACGATTATCTAATTGCCAACGAGCAGCCACTCAAAAGCGCAAGGCTGCGAGGCGGCAGCCTAATAGAGACGTGCGCGATAGTTCCAGGGGCAGAAAAAATCTCGAATCGATGTAACATATAGTAATGTAAGGTAACTTTAAAGACGTAATGTAGAAAAGAGAATGCATTGTGTTTTCCAGCGAACAGGTGAACAGCGAACAGAACAAAGCTGGCATCCAGGAGCCGTGTGCGTGCTTGTGAGTCCCGTGTTTATCCCGTCTTCAACCAATCGTCGGGTGGATTTATTTGCATCATTTGCATCATACGCGCATGGCAGCGCATTTGCCGGCTGGAATTTTTTATTGCCTGCCCTTACGAAAAATAATAACGCCGCGAATTTTTTTGTGTCTTTGAGGCAAAATAATTCGGAAAAATAATTTGTAGTTCATGACATTTCTAAAAAAATTAACAGAGCGCTCATATAGGTAAAATCTTTGTTCGTTGGCACTCAGTGATAGCTATAACTAATACTAATACATTTTAAGATTTACTGTAGCTGAGCCATTGATTTCTGCATGTATAATTCTGTAAAAAATTTTGTTATAATTTAACTGAGGGAGCCCATTCCTTATAAGCCCGGTTGCTCCCCTGGGCTTCCTCGCCATTAGCTTATTAAATATTGAGATTTTCTTGTTTGTACATCCTTATGGCAAAACAGTATCTGAACTGACCTGAAAGGTATGTTTCAAAATGCAAACGACTAAAACCTCTTCTATTTCTTTGCTACAATAACCATCGAGGTATAAACCAAACTGGACGAGAAATAATCGCGAGAAATAATTCAAAATTAAAAAATCAACTAACCTTCATCTTTCGCTTGGCGAATCCATTTGTCCATGACGGTTGAGACGGCCACTTGGAATTTTTCTTTCTCTCCCTCATGACGTCTTTTCATTTCTTCCAGCTTCTGTTGCATCTTCTTCACGGTTTTCTCAAGTTCCAGTTTCCTTTGCTCTCTTTCCTCTATCACCTTTTCGAAGAGTTTTTTCACCGCCAGTCGTCCTTCTTTAAACACGCTCCTTTCCTCTTTCGTGAAACGGTAGCTTAAGGGAGGAAGCATCCTCATGGTGACGTTGTAATCACTCTTTGGCACCGGTTCTCCAAGACGCTTTTTGAGAAATGCTTCCTTAGCCTTTGCCTTCAAGTCAAGGCGGTCTTCCGTCTCCTTGCTTTTCCTCAACGCCATCAGCTCATTCTCCGTTTGTCCTGCAACCTTCACTGTTAATTTAGTTATTTGGCTCTGTGAATTTAGAGCTTGGAAAAAACATCCAATTCTCTCAACATCAGGATAAGCGTCTTCAGTAGCATTCCTGTCAGAGTACTCGATAATCAAAACTTCTGATTTACTATAAACCTTTGAAGGACGTTCACTGGCGTTTAACAACTTCTTCATTTCTTTCAGGGGAAGAGAAGGACGAAGTGCGCGCGATTTTACTTTCTCCAGCATTTCTGCAAGGTCGTACAACTGCAACTCCTGAAAAACGTCTTTTAACAGCTTGACTGGAGTGTCAGGAAAGAGTTCGGCTATATTTTCCAGCATATAGAGGGACTCTTTCTCACGATCAAGCCCAAAAGACTGATAAAATCGCTGAAGAGCAGTGGGGTCCACTCGAAGTCTGCATACCAGTTCTGCTATCACTGTTCTACTTAGATCTTTTAAACACAGATTGGAGACGGAATCTAGGAAGAAGAGAAAATATTAAAAAAAAATGCAATGCGTTTAATATAAACAGGAAACTATGCAAGATTACATAATGTTTGGATTTGTCGAGGCCTCCAGTCATTATTGATATCCTATGTGAATATTTATTTAATACGACGATGTTTCTCCCGGTTGTTCTTGAAATGCTCAAGGTCTAATCATGGGTTTTATTATCAAGTGTGTTTTACCGTTAGTTTCTCCTTTTCCAAGCTCAGTTGGTGCACCGGGTGATTCCGACATTCCACTGTCGCTTGTTTCGGTTGTTGTGCTATGTGAATCGATATCCAGCTTGTTTTGTTCTAAATATCTCTGAACATTAATGTAGGTAAAATTTTCAACCTGCCTCTCCTCCCTCTGTACAACAGGACCTTTAAAATATAAAAGTGTGATGGCAAAAGAAACGCAAATGAATGTTAGAGCAAAGGAACTGAAATAAGACAAATGAATCGGAAGTGAAAGTGGGATAGTATTAAGAGTGTTTTCTCATTAAACATCGCTAACCCTATCAACATGGGAACATGTTAAAATATCTTGTGAGTTCAGTATGATGTAATCACGTAGGAGTTATTTGAAGTATTAAGGATGACGCAAACATCAAGAGAAAAAAATTGGAATTCTTAAACCCTACAGAGTCAACGCTCTTCATTTATTCGACTAATTTTTAGTCTTTGACGCTACCATGACCTACCTCCCACTTCCTGCATATAAATTACACACTTCCCAACTTCCCCTGATTTACCCCTGACGAAATGCTAAAGGCTGGTTTTCACTAGCGAGGGAGTCGGAGTCGTAATCAAAGGGGTGGAGCTTATGATCTAGTGAAAACAGCGTTCTGATTCCGCTTACGATTCCCTCATGTACGTTCCACTTATGATCTAGTGAAGACCAGATCGTCACAGTCGGAAGCAGAGGCGGAAGAACTAAACCAATTACAAAGCGTAAGAAATTGTATTGTGATTAATTTATCATTCCGCTCTTGTGCTTCCGACTTTTGCTTACGTCTCCGATTTTTGATTTCCACTAGGTTAAAAGCCCTCTTACGACTTCTGTTACGACTCCGTCGGTATAGTGAAAACCAGCGCTAACCTTTGAAACGTCAGCTTTTCAATCTCCTTATGATGCACAATCTACGTTTACGTAGTCAATAATACCAATCGTTTGCACTTCCGCACCAACGCAAAGTTACAGACTGAGTATTTTTCGAAACCAACACCTTAGTCTCTTAGTGACTCTCCATAATTGACCAATAACCCTAAATCCGTTTTCCCCATGTAACTTCAGAAAGTATGTATAGGTAAGGGGGAAGGGAATTACTAACTGTTACAAATATCTCATGCACCTTGAGCTTCACTGATTAACTCTGTCCGGGCTTTCTCATATTCTAGTTCGTCGATGGTCACTATGACTTCCACTTGCTCTCCGCCAGCAATTTCTCTCATTTCGTCAGTGACAAGTAAGGTTTGCAAGCAGGCTTTCAGGGTCCCGTCCGTGTACATACTCCACAGGTTTTCAAGGGCTGAACGACTTTTTACTTGAACTTTGAGACACACACAGCCTTCGGTTATTCGAATCAAACTTGCGCCAGAAGGAAGTACGCATGTGTTAACTGCCGTGATGAGCTCGCCATATGTTGAGTCCCGAATCAACAGCTCCAAGCTGGAAGCGATTGTAAAGCCTCCTGCTACAGCTTTGAACAGAGTCTTCATGTTTAACACTAAAACACAAAGAATAGAACGCACTCTTCAGGGTTCTCAAATAATTGGGCGGGTAAGACAACAAAAACACAAAGTCAGCTTTCAAAGTGATTTACTAAAGCCTGTAGCTAGATGCTGTCTTTAGCCGAAAACATTGTCACCCCAGTAATGTATATTCTCTCCTCCCATTTGCAGACTCTTTGAGGAATTAAGTTACCAGCCAGGCAACTTTTCTTGTTCCCAGGTCTGTACACGATTCCCCCCTCCTGTCCCTTTTATAACCTGCAATGCACTAGAAGGGGTCACAAAAAAGGGAGCCTGAAAATGGTTAATCATGAATCCTCCCTCCCGCCATATCTTATTTGTATTTTAATAATTTTTGTTGTTATGTTTTACAATTTTTTACACACTGACCCTTATGAACACGTAGGAAATATACAAAAAACCAAAGAATGAAAACTAAACATATATCTTGTCGCCATATCTTTGGCGACAAGAAGGAAAGGTGAGAGGCAGTGAAAATAAGATTTGAGTGAAAATAAGGATACTAAAAAAGTGAAAACTAGTCTTCAAAGCTACGGCGCTTACAAACATATAGGTACGAAGATACCTTTTTAGATTATAAAACTTATTTACTATTTTAATTTAAAAGCGAAACATGTGAAAGGGGAAACATACGATAGCAAATTTTTCCCCAAATGAGTAAAAAGTTTAGTTCACTCAAGCATAAACAGCTACTAACGGTAGGCTGGTTATGAAGGTATAATTTATGTATGACGTAATTGAATATATTTTTTGATTTTTCGCAGACTGTCTGACAGTGGTTTTAATAACAGCCCAGTAGTAGGTAGTTATAAATTAAACAACTTCCCTGTGAAGAGTCAAACGGCGTTCGATTTACCTTCAAATTCCACGTATGCTGAGTCTTGTCCTTTCTTTTATAGGTTCGCAAATTAAACAAATAACATTTTGGCTTTTGCTAAATTTGCTCAAACACTTACCGTATAATTCAAATGGAATACTGAATTACACTACTATAACCTACAACACTAGACAAATATTCTCAGAATGTGTCCTTTTGCAAAACTTCTCTTGGCAATTGTTTGTTCGATGTTTCCCTATAGCTGCTTTCGAAATCCTGAAATTAAAGGTTGGGTAGTATGTCGGTCTTCCGATTCCCTCCTTTAGCTAGGGCCGATCAGCGTAATGTATTTCTTACCTCCAATCAGTTTCTCGCCAACTGACGACAATACGGCACCAGCTTGCGCTAAAACATAAAAGACAGACATATGCCATTTTCAACATCTTTAGAAACTATTATTATAGGTATAATGCAAACACATGTGAATAAGGGTAGTTAACAAATTTGACGAAACAGGACATTTGCTTTGTCAGTGAATACCTTTTCGCCTTTCAAACTTCAGTTCACGACTTAGTCGTTGCTCGAACTCCTCCACTTCGTTAAGCAGATCAATTTTCTCCGTTTGGGCTAAAATCTCCTTTAGAGTTTCGAGGCAGTCAATTCCAAGCCAGTCGTTTAGTTCTAGCTCCCTAAACAACGATCCTACATCATGAATGTTTCCTTGCCTTTCTACTGTTATCTTTCCTCTACAAATCGAGACAAGTCGTTCCAGATCATTTAGCTCGTCGAGTACTCGAACCGTCTTCTCAAGCAGGCGACTGTATTCCTTTCTTTTGGCCTCAAACTTTTCAACTTGTTGAAAAAGAGTCCATTCCTCAACAACTTTTAAAACACGCTTCAATAGCACTAGACGATCGGAACTGAGAAATCCGTTGTCTTCTAATTCTTTAATCAACGAGCGGGTTGGAATGTTTTCTTCGCCATGATCTGTCACTTTCCCTCTGCACAAAAACAGTAATTGGTCGCCTACATCCAGCTCATCGAGTCTTTTACTTATCTGGTAGAGTAAATTATTGTATTCGACCTCAGACATTTTTTCGAAGAAAGTTACGCTGTTGTTAGTCGCAGTGATGGCGTCCAACCGAAACTAAACAGGAGTGTTCGATTTGTCATCTCGTGAGGTAATTAATATTCAAAAAGGCCATTTGGCCATAACGGAAACAAGGGCGCAGAACCACAGCCTGTTGCGGAAGTGGACTTCTCAGAGAAGCTCTCTTACCTATATCCAAGATGTCCGCTCAACAGGCTTATGCCCTGCAATAGAGTAAAACAAGAAATTACCTCTTCTCTTCAGAGGAAGGTCGACGTGTTTGTAGAAACCAAGTTTAACGGTTAAGTTATTCAGCAAATTTTTCTGGAGCAGGCTCCCCCTTCCCACACAAAACCCGTCAACTTCGACGTATTAGTACGTGATGCATGTTGCAGAGTCCCAGTCGATTTGATATTTCTTCTGTAAATGGTGCTCAGCAATGCGGCTGTTGACATGATCATTTCTACAATGATCGGTTTGCTATTTTAGCAGCACGTCAGGATGGACACTCGGCTAACTAGTTAGCCAATAAAACGATAGAAGATAGCGTGAATCTTCCATACGTGATCACGCAACGGCGTTTTTACGGATCATTTTCTCTTTAGCATCAGGTTGGAGGAATTTTTTTGGTCACGCGAATATGGGGTGCCATTACCGCCAAAATTCAGCTATCGTTACTGTCGTAAATGGTGCCTCTGTTTTTGTAAATGGTGCCTCGAATTTTGTTTATGGTGCCTTCGTTTTCATAAATGGTGCCTTCGTTTTTGTAAATGGTGCCTTTAATTTTGTAAATGGTGCTCCCATTTTTTATTATTATTATTTTTTTAATGGTGCCTCCTATTGTGTTAACATGGTGCCTATATCTTATAAGTATATGGTACCTCTGTTTTTGTTTATGGTGCCTCTGTTTTTGTTAAACTGGTGCCTATATCTTAGTATATGGTACCTCTACTTTTGTTTATGGTACCTCTATTTTTGTTTATTGTGCCTCTCTTTTCACATATGTTGCCTCTAAACTTGTTAATGGTGCCTCTTATTTTGTTAAACTGGTACCTTTATCTTTGTATATGGTGCCTCTGTTGTCTTAAAAAATGCTACCGCTGTTTTCGTAAATGGTGCTTCAAATATTCAGCAGTCTGGGAACGACTCTCTAGTGTTTTTTTTTGTTAATTTTTTGTTTCTTTTTTTTTTTAAGGTTGCAGAAGTTGCTGATTTATCTGAACTTGGCAAAGAGGAGGCAATCAGTGTTCTCTCAGAGAGTGGACTTTCCATGACATTAACTGTAAGTTTGTAAATGTTGTGATGGCATTATTGGGTCAGTCAAGGTTTCTGGGATTCTGACCACCTTCCCCTCCCCTAACCTAACGTTTTGCCTAAAGTGAGAAGTTAGTGTTAACGTTGGGTTAGGGGAGGGGTAGGTGGGCAGTTTCCCAGAAACCTTAACTGATCCGCATTATTTTTAACAGCATATTATTAACAATACTGAAAACTCGATATTGATAGAAAAGTATTTTAAAACTTACACACGCAATGTCTGATCAGGAGAGAAGCCATTCAAAAGCACTTTCAAGCTTGCTCGACAGTGAAGTGAAATTCACGAATAATAAAAAAAAAACACCAAACAGTTTAAAAGAAGAGAAGCAAAAATAAATATTTTTCTAGATCAGGCCCCAGTTGCTCAAAAGGTGATTAATGCTATCCACTGGTTAAATCACCATCCAGTGAATCAATAAACAGTGAGAAACAGATTAAAAATAAGTATTCTATACAACAAAATAAATTTTAAAATATCTAAAATACAGATCCTTACAAATTACATAAATTGGATAAAATGACAACTAATTAAAAATAATTTTCAAATACCTAAAATCTGAATCATTTTTATAAATAAAAGAGCAGTCTTTTTTGAAATTGATACCCCTTATGACACCTTTAATTGTGGACTGCACTATCCATCATTTGACCAGCTTGGGACAGGTGCATATGTTTTCACGAAGAGAACGGATTTACCTGCATGTACATGCAAATGTTGCAATCTCCTTCTCAAGGATATTGTTACCTACAACTACAACTTACAGGTCGTTGACCAGTTTCTTACTGTATTATTGTTGTTCTGTGAATGTCTTTCAGAATGATAACAAAATGCGAGTCATC